AGAAATCTTCCCCCTCCCCCCTCCCAGTTGAATCGCGGGAAAGCAATATTTGCAAACTTATGGAAATTCTGTCCTCGATTCCCTTTAATGTCCTTGTTAAAAATCGCGTGCGTGATGCAAAAGATAATAATCAAAAAAAAAAAAAAAAGTGTCGGAATACAGGAATAATCGTGGCGTGGGGGGGGGGAGGAGGGGAGAAAAACCGACTGACTTAGATAAATAGATTGTTTTGTATAAACACCTTGTAAACGTACACGTATGATAAATGATAACAAATATCTTGCATTTTTTTCCACCGATTGTGATCTCCATTCCTTAAACTAACATAATTCATATTAGTAACTTACTATCGCTCGGGGAGAAAAAAGAAAAAATGTAGAGTAGGTAGAACGCTTGAACTCTGACCTATCTTACGCTAAGTACAACTTGGCAACACGCTAACATTAAAGAGTTCGCGAGAAGAATGAAAAAGTAGAGACGATGTAGTGGATTTCTTTTCTTCTTTTCCTTTTTTTTTTTTTTTTCACGTGGACCGAAAGAAAAAATAGAACACCTCGCCAAAAGAGAAAGAGAAAAAGAGAGAGAGAACGATAACTAAACTTGAATTCGAGCAAAATTACATCCAAGCAAACGAGCAGCCGACGTTGTCGTTGTCGTAAAAATGAAACGCGATGAAACCATCGAAAGGGTGTCAAGTAAGTAAAGAAAGTAAAGACGAGACACACGCAGTACTTTTAATAATTATTAGAGCGTCAATCCCTTTTATTCTCTTGGATCAAAAAGACCTAGAAACGAGCGTGTTTTATTTTATCAAAGAACACTGCACTTATTTTATCTTAATCAGTATAATACGATATTTCTACGAAATTGAATTATTCGAGAGAGAGAGAGAGAGAGAGAGAGAGAGAAAAAAAAGAGAATATTTTCAAATACCACGCTATAATAATTCAGTAACATTTTTATGATTATTTCAAAATCTTAACATCTCTCTCTCTCTCCCTCTTTCTCTGTCTCTCAGCAATTTTCGATATAATTTAGAAAGGGAACCTATGGCTCGTGGTTTTAATAGAAAAGCTCGGAGACACGTTTCAAAGAGCATCGGACGTTGATCGAACGATTTTACGTGAACCCAAGGAAAAGCATCTTCCCCATCGAAGATGATTCGAATCTTGGACGAAAACTGAGTGTCAGGAACACTCAGCCACCAGTTGTCTAGTCGATAACGAACCAAACCAGATTCTATGTGATATGGAATGGTGAATATTATATATAGGGATTGCGTATCCCTGATATTCTTCTCTATTTTCAAGACTTTTATTGAAACATTTTAATTGATTGTTCGAGATTAAATAACTAATTCGAAATAAAGAAATCTTTTGGAATAACGTTAACAAGTGATTCGACAAATAACAAAGAATACGAACGAATTCGGATCTATTTGTTTCTCTTATTTTGAAAAGAACCAAAGCAAATTCTGCATAAAGAGAAGGAAGAGAAAAAGAAGAAAAGTAAGCGAAAAAATGGGAAGAGCTTGCGGAAAAAAAAAAGAAGAAATAAAAAGGGAAGGAAAAACCCTTGTTGTAACGAACCGCTTTCGCGAATATCATCATCTCTCGTCGTCTATATTGGCAAAAGAGAGAAAAAGGAATCTGCGCGCGCAACCTCAATGGTGTCACGTCGAAGTAAAACGTTCCTCACCTATTTTCCAACGAAAAATATACATATTTCCGAACGAATTTCGAAAGAATCTTATATACATACATACATAAAAATGATGGAAGGGCTTTTTCTCCCTTTCCTTTTCCGTTCTATATTTCTTCTTTCGTAATATAAACTTTTTTTCCCTCTCCCCACGAGAAGAAGAAGAAAAAGAAGAAGAAGAAGAAGAAAAAGAAAATATTCAACATTTATCAGTCTTTCTCCGAGTCGTGCAATGTTCGAGTTATATCAAGAAAAAGAAGAAAAAAGAAAAGGAAAAGAAAGAAAATAGTTATTAATATTCCGAACAAAAAAGTGTGACAACGAATTCGGGAAAATCTTGAATTAACTGTTCCAGATAATGATAAAGATCATTTGATATTATCAAAGAGAGACAAAAAGATAGAGAGAGAGAGAGAGAGAGCAAAAGCATCATTATGAACGGTAGATACGATACATTAACTCACGAACGTTACTTCCGAAGTATTTTGGGACTGGCGGCTTTCCATTGGTATATGTATACTACATCAGAGAAGAGAGCCAACTCTCGTAGGGAGAATGAGATAGAGAGAGAAAGAGAGAGAGAGGAAGAGAGAAAGAGAGAGTCAATGGCCTCGCATTCGCGAGACCATTTCTACGCGAGGCACAAAGAGAACATTCCGATAAATCCTATATTATGATCCAGAAACATATTACGGCATCTATTACCGCCATACCTACCTTTTACACATTTAGGTTACGGAGAATATAGTGCAACAACGTTGGCTACTTCATCTTAAAAAGATACTTTTTGTTTATGCTCCTTATATCCTCAATTTAAATTTATATATTATATGTGTTCCATTTTTTCATATATTGTCAAGTAAATTATACCCGTACGCGTTATTCGATTACGAAATAAATAATAGAAATAGTAACAACCCCGTTGAAATATGTTGATGGTTTTTTATTCGTTTATGTCAGTTCTCGGTTTAACGAATAAAAAGAAACGTAATCGTGAAAGATATCACGATTGATTTTAATTAATAAACGTTCACTGTTTTTTTCCTCCGACAAATTGAGTTTTTTCTTTTTCTCCTCCCCTTTTTTTCTTTTCCATGAAAACGTAAAAAAAAAGAAAAAAAAAAAACAGCGAGTTATATTCGATGGAATTTCTATCGGGCCTGTTAATCGCTACGATATTTTTCTTCGGCATTTTGCCAAATCACGTCGCGTTCTTGTTTAAAACTATTGTGAATTTCGTTCAGGTAAAGAAAATTCATTGAAATCGCAACGGTACGTTGACCTCTCTTAATTTCTTTTCTTTTTTTCAAAACTTTCATTTCTTTCCTGTCACGTTTGTATTATTCATTCTAATAAAAACTTAATTAGTACTTACGTTGTAATATGAAGAAAAAAAAACTGAGAACATGAAATTTAATTTAATAAATCGTAACCGCAAAAAAAAGAAAGACAAAAAGAAAAAACAAAAAAAAGAAAGAACAAAAAACAAAAATAACGAACTTTGTAACAATCATTGAACTATTCAGAGGGTGTTCACTCGGTATACCGATGGACAATATTTCGCATAATTGAATAGCGCGCGACAGCGAAAGTACGTGTGCACCTATATATATATATATATATACCCTCACGCATATTTATTCTCTCTTACATTGGTATTAAATTTATAGATATGGTTGGTGTGTACGTGGCATGCACAACGGTCTCATTTGGATTCAATAACATGATCCAAATAATTACTTTATAATTATTATATTAAATTAAACACTATAGTAATTGTGTAAGTAATACTATCTTTATAAATTTATAACGGATTTCGAGTTAATACCAACTTACAGTTTAAAGTGTAATCAAATCCGTAGTACGGACAAATAATGCGGAATAAACAACAATTCAAATATTTAAGCGAGTAACTTGAAAGTTACAACGGTTTTGTGGAAATTAAAATTAATAGAAAAGCAAACCAAAAAAATAAATGAAGTCTTGGGTAAATTGAATAATATCCATCCTACACCCTAGAAATGAAATAACGAAAGATGAAGGTAGAAATCCATGGAAACAGAGGGTACGAGGGGAAAAGTGGGGAAAATAGAAAGAGAGAAAACTCGCTCTCTTTCTCTTTCTCTCTCTCTCTTTCTCTTTCTCTCTTTCTCTGCTGTCTCGCCGTCTCGTGGTTCCTATCGATTTACTACGAGGCGGTGGTCTTGCGAAACAACTGCGGAGCATCACGTTGCGAAAAACGAGGATACGATAGATTCGAGTAGAATCGATGAACTCTCTCGTTCACCTTCCCCCCTCCTACCCCCTCAATGAAATCCCCTCGCGAGTGCATCGTACCGCGTGAACACGATACATAATACCTTTACGGTATATCTCTTTCGTGTTGGTTCAACGACACTAACTTGCTTTATTTAACTTCGATCGAAACATTCATCGACCTTGCATTTCAATTAAATAATGTCATTTATTGAAATTGTTATAAAATAAATTTTCTCTCTCTCTCTTTCTTTCCGTGCGGGAGTGACAAATTCAATTAATTACATTTTGAGGAAATTATTTAAAAAGTAAATTACAAAAACATGATTTCATCGAAACATCGACAAAATTGTATGACGAAAGACGATAATATTGGATATTGGATTGATAAGATTTTCAAAAATCGTTTCGAAAAATGTTTCCTCGGTCTCGAAATCGAAAGAGTAAAGTTAGTAGGCGCGCCCTAAAATACTCGACGAGAGATCGCGTTGCGATCACCTGCTAATCGTAGGATGTATAAGAAAAAAGGTAAGTATTCGTAACGTGGGGTAACCAAGTTGGCAAAAGAGAAGGTGGAAGATAAGTAGAAGGAGGAGGAGGATGAGGAGGAAGAGGAAGAGGTGGAGGAGAAGGAAGAGGAAATGGAAGAGGAGGAAATAAGAGGTAGCGATGGAGGAAGGATCAAGGACAAGCGAGGTCGAAGGGGTGGCGAGGGTGCGACGGAGAAGGAAAGTCGCAGGGCGTACGTCCTGTGCCTCCTTACTTCGACAAAATCAATAACCTGTTCTGGGGTTCGGCCGAGAGAAAGCTCACTAACGTTTTATAACGATAAGATCAAAGGGGAAAAAAAGAGAGAGAGAGAGAGAAAGAGAGAGAGAAAGAGAGAGGGAACGTAGAGGATTGTCAAAGAAAAAATATATCCGTGTGATTGTGTAAAGTAAAAACACAAAAGAAAAAAAAAGCAGCTAAGTAAATGAGGATAATTTAGTTAATCAGGTGGACATACAGATAGACAGACAGACAGACAGACGGACAGTACTCACTCGGTGATTGGGCGGCGACGTTTCTGATTCCTTCTGAAGATCAACGAGGGTTGAAAAGCTCCGAAGGAAGACTCGAGCGGCACCTATCCAGAGGGCACAGATAGTTCTCTCTAACACACTTTTCTGTTGGTCCGTTGTCCTACCTGCACGGGTCGTGTGTCACACGATCAACGAGGGTGGTCCGCTTGACGCGAGCTTTCACCCCTAGCGCGCCGGGCTTCACTGAAGCACGTCGATCGCACGCGCCACTTAAATTTGTTTTTTTTTTTTTTTTTAAGTATAGTGTTATACCTAGTTAAGCCAAGGAATTTCCGTTCGTTTTACTTTTTCGCGAAACAACGAACAGGGGGAGGAACTTTACGAGATAGATCGCGGGGAGATAAACGTCACCAAAAGCTCTTCGTCTTTAACTCTCTCTCTCTCTTTCTCTCTCTCTCTCTCTCTCTCTCTCTCTCTCTTTTTCTTTCTTTCTCTCTCTTTCTCATTTACACCCTTTCGAAGCAACCCTCTATACGCTAGTCTCGACACCTCGCGGCGAACGACGTCACCTAACTCGAGCAAACTCTCTCGCGCGTTCGACCTTTTCCCTTCTAAAAAAGGGACAGACAGACCTAGAGAGAGAGAGAGAGAGAGAGAACTAAAGAGCAAGAACGATCGAAATACATACGGTATGACGTATTTTATTCGGAAATAAATAAAAACAAAAGGGAAAACGTAAAGAAGATACGATACTTCACTGTTAAGAAGCCGGGGATCGGTTGGGTGTCCTCGTTCGTTCCTCGGTCGTATCGTTTTTTGATCGAGGAATAATGATTTAAAAATGAGGAGATAAAGGATAGAGAATTGGGGCTTGAGAATATGTAATTAAAAAAAAAAGTAACGTTTATATATCTATATATATATATATGGATTCGTGAAGCAACAAAGACGCTTCGAAGTTGACGCGGCTGTGGGGCGCGGGCCACTACCTCCACGAGCCTCCCGGATCGTTCGGTAGAACAACGATGGTGGGGTTCTTCCACTCGGCGTGCCGACTCCCCCACCAACTTATCCCACCACCACCACCACCATCACATCCAAACCCGTCGTCTCTCTCTCCAGAGAAAACTCATTTCACGCATGCTCCTCGAGCGGTCTCTACCAGCACGATCCGCAACTTCTCCTATCAAAGGTTACACGCTCGCCTTTACGCTTCCCTTTACCCTACCATACCCTACCCTTCCCTTCACTCTCTCTACGCTTCCCCCTTTAACCCTTTATATTAGCGCAATGGAACTTTTAAGTCATCCTCCTTTTGTGTCTTTACGTTTAACTTTTTTTCCTTCTTCTTCTTTTTCTTTTTCTTTTTCTTCGTGTTTTATGAAAGAAACAATGTGCTTTTATTTATTTATTTTTTTATTTATTTTTTGTTTTTCTTTTCAAGCACAAATATATTCCGACAGAATAATGAAACGTTTCTTTTCCGTTGCTAGTTTGCCAAATAAGAGTAGCCACAAAATAATACTTTAAGTTAGAAATAATATTAGGCTTTTATCTTAGAATTGAGCCGAGAGAAGATAGTCTAATGCCAGGGCTATTTGAACCATCTCTAAGATGAGAGATATATATATATATATGTACCTTTCTCTCAGAGGGGAGCTTACTCTCCAACGATATCTGAATATTGCAATTTCATCCACTTCAACTTGACTTCATCATTCGCTTCAAGTTTCTCGCTTACTTCGTCTATCCGTAAGATGTAATCGCATAAGCTTAACGGCTTAACCAGTCAATCATGTCTATAAAGTTGCGAATAATATTTTATTTATAATACACAAAGCAACAACATTTAATTAGATCTTAGACGCGCGAGAAGAAAATAGTAAGAAATAATATATTAAATCGTACTGTGAAGTTTGTAAAAATTTCGTCCATCTCCGATGGATTCCTGGAGAAAAAGAAAATAAATAAAAATTATCTACGCGTTTTTCGATCCAATCAACTTGTCGGAAGATGATGATCTACTGCGAATTCGATTTCTTTTCGAAATAATAAATCAAATTATATATAACGTTCTTTCATTTCGTGTTTAAAATCAATAAACGAAAAAGTAAATTCGACTGGTTCGTGAATCGATCGAGTTTTCGCGTTTCGCAAAGAAAATAATAAAAAAAAAATATTCACCGACACAAAATCATTCGACGCGTCACGTAACGACATTAAAAATGACGGAACCCATGAGAGAGAGAGAGAGAGAGCGAGACATAGACGCATTTAATATCGATTTATCTTTTCAATTCCGAGAGCAAACTAATCGTTTTATCTTTGCGCGAACGTTCTATGCATACCGATGTTTCATCTAATGCGACTAATACAACGTTTAACCAATAAAATATAGTTTAAATCATAACGAGATAAAACATTTGGATAAAAGTAAACGATCGAGCATAAGAAAGTTGTTCAACTTATTTGGGATTTGTATTTTTTGATTGAAACTCGATGAAAAAAATCTCTTACAATTAGAAAAAGAAAATTGGTTGCAAGCTCCGATTGAAAATAAGTGCCAACGTGTATTAAGACCGAGTAACGATTCGTATTTTTTCTTTTCTTTCCTCGCTCGAGAGGTTGCAGGGAGAAGAAGAAACGAGACGAGTGGAATGGCCTATCGAGTCGTACTAATGAGATGAAGCCGGAAGAAACGATCGAAGACGTCTAAGGTGTAATCGAGTTCCACGAATCCGAACGATCAATTTGTGTGTCTCAGCTAAATCGTGCGAATAATTTTAAACGAAATCTAATACAAATTTTCAGTATTCACGTTACAAACCTTTGTTATTAACTCTTATCAAAATTGAAAATGATTTTTTACGTTTCATCGTAAATCAATCTAATTTGTTTTTTTTTTTCATCAGATTTGTAATATATTATAATTCGTACTAAAGAAAAAAAAAAGGATTTAACGAAAGAAAATGTTTATTATAACGATCGATAACAATGTAATAGGTAGTTACGTTTGATCGTGCCTTAAAGGAAAAAGATCAACAACAATTTGACGATTAAACTAAAAGAATAAAAATAATTCTCACCCCAAAGAGAAAAAGGATTGAAATGATTTAAACGGTGAACGTAGTAGTAGTAAAGACGTAGTAACGCAATTGAAAAACGTTGTACTCGTACGTTCGCATTGACTTTGCTGCTTCATTAGATTCAACGTCCAATCGATCGACCACGACGACACGAAAAGCGAATTTCTCTGGAACCGACGAGCGTGCTTTTATACAAAAAGGAATACGGAACTACAATCGATTTTACTTACGGATTCAGACGTTCTCTACTATACTATTTATTCCCTTAAGCCTGGGAAATTCCGTTTTACTTCTAACAATAAGTGCCAATGCTTTTCCAACTACGTCTGTCGTTAGTGAGATCTTTGAATTCTTTCGTTAAACAATGAGACCGAGAGAAATCAACCTTATTTCTTATTCATTTTTATTATTATCATTATTATTGTCGATCATTTTATTTGGTAAAAAGGGGCAGGTAGTATTCTGTAAAGATGATTATTACTCGTTTAGAGAAAAACTAAAAAAAAAGTATATAAAAACGATAATCCCTTTTACGGGGATCTACGATTTAACATTCGTAAGATTATCATTTTGATTGTCTTTTTTTCCTGAATAATATTATTATATAACTTTCTCAATCATTATTCTAATTTGCATTAATTCCATTCGTCAATTTTCAATCAAATTATTTTTCCTACTAATCTCTGCCGTTTTGTAATGGTGTCTCCAACAAAATTCTTCAATTCTTTTGCACGCTTCCTCGAGCATATGTTGAGGTATGGTAATTACCAGTCTCATATACGAAGGGTAGTCGAAACACTATAACAGACAATTGATCGTGCTAATAATAAATCATCAAATAATCAAAATGATCAAATTTATTATTCACTTACTTGACCCGGCAGACAAAAAACGGATTCTTCCATAAGCAAACGTTGCACGAATTCAACGTCGGTATTAAACTCGGGGAAACAGGATAAGTCTATAAAAACCTGAAAATTAATGGGACAATTAATATATCGATCGTTTTATTTAAATTAATGAAAATAAAATAATGAAGGGTATCGTGGATCGTAGAAATACAATTAATTAATGTTTCCGATATAAAATGTGAAAAGAAAAATATATTTCAAATAATCGAAAATAGAAATGAAATAATTGATATTCAGTTTGATTGACCGTATTATAGTTGGACGTTAATGTGGATGATCTAGATTATATCATGATTGGAAGAGATGTTCGATTCAAGCCTAATCGTAGTTTACCATCATATACATCGCACCGCCTGGCATTATCGGCTTCAATCCTGGAATCTTCGCTATACAATTATAACACAATTTCGAATGGGTCTGCAAGAAGAAAAACAATCCATTAGAAGAAATATAACGTGGTTGATTTGTTAACAATGATAAAAGAAAAAAAACAAAGTAACAGGATAGATTAATATTGGATAATAATATTGGATGAATAAAATGTAGAAAATGAGAGGGGAGAAAAAAAAGGAAAAACTCACGAGCAAGGTGGACATGACGTCGTCGAAAAACTTTTGAGGTGTATTCCTTAAAATGGCCGGTAAGGCACCCTGTATAAGCGTATTGCTACCAATAATTCGTTGACTCAAACATTGCAAACCCTTGCGAATCTGAAATGTTATCGTTGGTATTTAAACGACCACTAATAAACTTCTTTTACGAAAAAAAAAAAAAAGAAAACAAAACGAAGCAAAACAAAACAATGAAAATTAATTATTCAAAGAACAATATTGATGTATATTATACGGCAACACACGCGCACAATTTATTAATTGTTTGTATCGATTTTAAAGAAAAAAAAAAAAGATAAATCGTTAAGGTTTAAGTTAAATTACGAATTGAAAATTGAAAAGATTGTCAGAACGATCTGGAATGAGACGAAACTTTTCAAGTTTTATCGACAAAATTTAATCCGATCCACACTTTTAGCTTCGTACAACGAGCTGAGTAGAGATTCGCGGATATTTCGATAGCGACCTCGATTCGAAAACAATTCTTTTGCAAAAAGTAAGTAATTAATTTCGACTTGCCGGTGGTCTTGGTTTAAAAACGATCGATCTTTTACCAACCTCTTCCTCTAAAACGTTTTGTTTGTCGTGGATGATTATCCATCCCATACGCCAGCCAGGTACCAAAAACCTTCAAAAAGATTCACGATGAATAATAACTCGTTGAAGAATTAATGAAGGTCTAACCATAATCGATCAATAATATCCAACTATTTATCTATTTGTTTTAATCTTAAGAATCTTTTCAATGTTTTTACCTTTTTCCAAGACCGCTGCACAATAAAATCGGAACTTCGCTCGGGAGGGACGTTAACGAGTGAAAAGTTTGTCCAGGGAAAACCTAGTATGAAATAAAGAGTAGAACATAATGATTAAAATGCAAGTATATTGACGCAGATATTTTTCTACGTCGTACAAATCTATGAATATTTATCACCGACGCATCCGTTATTTTTTTCATTAGGTATCGAATATCGTGCAGCAAACTACTTCCATGCGATACATTTTTTAAAAGAGGTATGATTATTATCGGTGTCTAACGACACACGAGGACGACGTATTGTATGTTCTCTCGTTAGTTCGTAACTATCCACACATGTGGGATATACGTAGATATAGATATAGATATTCAAGAAAATATATCAAAAGATTAATATTAAAACGGACGGATTTTATTTGGATTTTATAACGAACGCGAACGATGGATTGATTTGTTTAAATTATTTAACGCGTTGACTTTATAGTCTTGGATAATAAAATAATAAAATAAAGCACGCGCGCGGATTATTAATTAGGATTAAAGTATTGAACAAATCTATGGGAATATTGATTGGAGGGAGAAAGAAAAGGGGGAAAAAAAGAAAAAAAAGAAAAGACGGTCACCATATGTTCGTAAATTTCGTCAGCGATGATAGGCAGGTAGTAACGGGTAGCAATATTCAGAATATCGAGTATATGGTTGCGGCTAAACACAGAACCGCATGGATTCGAGGGATTGTTTATAACTATCGCTGCCGTAGATTCATCGATCTTCGTCTCCAGGTCATAGAGATCGATTTCCCAATTGCGTTCAGGCTGAAAGCAAACGATTAATATTAATAGAATCCGACGAGAAGGACCCCTCCCCCCACCCCTCTTTCGATTACCATTCGAGGTAGTCACTACTATTCATTCCCGTCACCCCGAAGGGAGAAGGAAAAACGAATTGCTGAAGAAGGGATGACTTGCCGTGAATATACGAAAATTAGGGCAAATAATATCCGCGAGCTTTTGTTTTACTTTCTAAGATTTTTCTCCCTTCTTCTTTTTTTTTCTTTTTTTTCTTTTTCTTATGTAACATCTACGAAATAATTTCTTTCAATATTTTTTTTTTTGAGTTATTTTCAATATTAGTATTCTACAATTGTTGTGTGTGTGTGTGTGTGCAATCGTAAACGACACATTATTATTTCGTTAATTATAAATTTGTATATATGTTGTGTGACACAAAATTGTTGGAAGAAAATGATTCGATAAAGTTATCTTGGAAAATTCTCGAAGTTAATGCGATATAAAAACTTACGCAAAGATTGTAAGTCTTCACCACAATTCCTAGACCTTCCGCTAACGTTCGATAAATAGAAAAACCAGGACGTGGAATCAGAATGTTCTGTCCTTCTTTTGCCAATGCTGTAATACAGAGATCCAGGGCACAGGAACAACCACTACACAGAATCACGTCCTGGAGAAAAGCGGATATAAGTAGGGAAACAAGTAGAATTTGAGAATTTCATTCCAATTGAAATATACTTTGACGTTCAATTCTTAACTAATTATATGCTAACGTTAACGCATAAGTATGATAATGAAAATGTATGATTTAAATATGGCAAGATTGTAACAAAAAAAAAGATTGTATGAAACACAAATTAATCAAGGCAATAATACGTGTAAAATTAAATTACGAAACGTTTTTTACATCACGAAATAGATCACTATTATGATTTTAAAGTGTATCGCAAGGTAACTCGTGATTAACATGATTAGTAAAGGGTTGATGGGTATCGATGAGTTTCTCTTAAAAAAAAAAAAAGAAAAAAAAAACAATAACGCTTCGAGAGAATGATATTTTATTAATATTCATGAAAATGTCAATACCCGGTATCGAAACATCTGGCAGAAAATAATATCATCGATGGTGGAGAGGGAGAAAAAGAAAAAAAAAAAAAAA